TGATTAATGACAATAGTACATTCTGTTTTATTTTTAGTTAGATCTAAAACAAATTTTGTTAAAATATGGACTACCAAACAAATCACAATCCTATAAGAATGCTTTCAAACACAAATAAGTTGCGATAAAAATAAACAAACAAGCCGCACGTAATTTCCTCCCCCCTTAGACGATCCCTCAAATTATATCATATATATATGAGAGTTAGAGAGTTGTACAAATATTACAAACCGAAATAAATAATAAAAACAGATTCAAATTCATAAAGTTAACTAATCTAGTCTTCTAGCGATTCTTCAACTTGAACTTCAAGTTCGAAACCTGGTAGAAGGGATAATGGAACATATAGATATAATTGAAAAAAAAATTGCAACATCAAATATTCGTAACAACAAATTACTTTCATATATATAAACAAGACACATAAGAAACCGAATAAAGAATAACTATAGACATATTATCACACATAGAGAGAGGGAAGAACGAAAAACTAAGTCGGGTGCTTCCTTTTTCCATAACAATATTTGAAATAATAATGCAAGATGAAATTAAACTAATGGAAGAGCAACTAACCAGTTAAAGCAGGAATATTTAACAGCAATGAAGACCGACACTTAGTCCAATAATTGACACGAACACAGCAAAAATAGCGACAAAGGACTTTAGTTTTTAACCGGAAACTTAATTCTTTTTTTTTTTTTAGTAAAGAGTAGTATATATTCTTAGTATTTTTTAGAGTAAAAGTCAATGTACCCGGATGTGAGTATGAGTGGGTTTGTATGGGTCTGTTCAAAAGCGTCCTTAAGGAATAAAACAGAGGTCTTGTTTTATAGTAGAGGAGAGGGCATGATTTCAAACGAAAAGAATCAATTAAGAGCAATTATGGAGAAATTATTTCCTTATTAAGAGAATCATATCAATCAAACATTACCAAATATAGTCACATAAAATCAGTCCTATTTAATTAAGGTAAAGAAAATCAATCAACCATAGTCAAAAATGTAAAACAGGTAAAGAGAATGATTTTATGCAGTAAATTGATATATTCAAGCAAATAGATATAATTATTTAAGACAGAATATGATTTTCCCAAAGCAATATTCTCACAGGTAATAATTTACCATAATCAGAAAATTGGTAAGAATGATGAGATGAAATTAAAGACATATTAGTGTCTACAAAGTAGTAGATAACGAAGAGAAATATTGGCATTCTAACAACTTGAATAATACTTTAACATGGCTAGAACAATACACATTCAAGGAATCAGATCATCACAAAGAATGCATGCTCGACATCACAAACAATAAGTAGTCCAAATGATTTTCATTTACATAAAGCAAGTATACGAATGAAAATTTAATAATCGAACTAACCAAAATTTGTTTTAAAAGTGATAATCAAATAAAAGAGCGTACCTGGACGGATCGGTTAAGATCCGTCTTCAGCAAATTTACAAACTTCAGAACTTTACCGGAAGAATCGAGCAGAGAAGAGAGGAGGCTCGCCGGACTCGCTGCATTGCCGGAGCTCGCTGTCTCCGCGCAGCTGCTGCTATTTTTCACTGGTTGGAGCTGCTGGTGGTTGCTGCTTTTGGTCCTGGGCGTCTCCAGCTCTGCTGCTGCTGCTCGCTTCAACAAGCTGCTGGCCGGAGCTGTTGTTGTCGTCCGTCGCTGCTGGCTGTCCTTGCCAGTGCTGCTGGCAGCTTTCGCCGGAGCTTCTGCTGCTGTTTCTTGCCGGAAAAGAGGAGAAACGAGAAAGATGAGATGGAGAAGAAGGGAGGAGAGGGAAGGAGATAAAGAAGAGGAGAGGGCTGCTGGCCAGCCGGAGCAGCTGCCTGGGATGGAGAAAAGAGAGGGAGGCGGCTGAAGAGAGGAAGAAGAATGGGAATTGAATTTTAGGTTTAGGAGTCTTTTGTTTTTAAAAAAAAAATAGGAAATAGGAAGATTCGATCTCAACCGTAGAATTAGAATTAGATAAGCGGCTAGGATTTAATCTAGGATTCACTTAAAGGATGGACGGTTCGGATGAGAGTTGGAATTGATTTGGAAAGGCCAAAATTGCAATAAAATTGGCTAGAATTGAAATGAAAGGATGGCTGTAATTGAAATACAATTGGAATTGGAATGACTAGAATTGAAATGAATTAGAATAGAATAGGCTAAAAATTTAAATGATTTGGAGGAAAATTTAGGAATTGATATCCAATTAATAAATACTATATTTTTAAAATATTTTCATATACATTATACACATCTAAGTTTCTTAAAACCTTTAAATAAGTAATTATTTCGAGTTTAACTATCGATAAATATAATAACAAAATAATTTAATAATAATAATTTTAATAAATCCAGCTTACTAAAATATATAATTTTTAGACAAAATTGACTAAAATCTTGAACTCGAAATATTTTTTAAAATATGTATTTAATCGAATAACATTCCTAAAAAGGGTTAAAGGTCGGTCAAAATTGGGTGTCAACAGTTGGTTATCAACCAACTCTTGGGAAGTTATGAGGTGAAGAAGCCCGAATTGCGTCATTATCATGGCTATGCCCAAAAGTTGATAGGATGGCTTGGAGATGTAACCCTTCAACATGTGCGTAGAACGGAAAATAAGAAAGCTGATGCATTGGCGGCCCTGGCTTCAATTCTAACCCTTCCTGATCAAACACAAGTTACTATTTCTCAAAGATGGATAGTACCACCGCCAAATGAGGAAGAATATATAGAAAATGAGCTTGAGCATCTCGTTGTTGTTTCTGAAGCCGTAAAGGAAGATTGGAGGCAACCCATTATTGACTACATGTGTTATGGGATACTTCCAGAAAATCCAAGGAGAAGGACTGATATTCGTCGTCGTGCACCTCGCTTCCTTTACTACAAGGACACATTATATAGAAGATCATTTGAGGGTGTACTATTACGATGTTTGGGAGAGGAAGAAGCAAGTCAAGCTCTGCAAGAAGCAGACTCAGGAGTATGTGGATCACATCAATCTGGACCGAAACTCCACTTTCACATTAAAAGGATGGGGTATTATTGGCCAACCATGGTGAAGGATTGCTTAGATTATGCTCGGAGGTGCGATGCTTGTCAATTTCATGCAAATTTCATACATCAGCCGCCTGAAGTATTGCACCCAACTATCGTATCTTGGCCATTTGACGCTTGGGGATTGGATGTTGTGGGACCACTACCAAAATCTTCTGGTGGACACTTGTACATCTTGGCTGCAACAGATTACTTCTCAAAATGCGCTGAAGTTGTTGCTCTTAAAGAAGTGAAGATAGAGAATGTTGCAAATTTTATCCGAGTGAATATCATCTATCGCTTCGGCATCCCTTGCTACATAATAACGGACAATGGCAAGCCATTTGATAATAAGTTAATGAATAAAATTTGTGATCTCTTTTGCTTCAAACAACGTAAATCTTCTATGTATCATGATGCCGCCAATGGTCTTGCTAAAGCATTCAATAAGACTCTATGCAACCTTCTGAAGAAAGTTATCTCCAAGTCCAAACGGGATTGGCATGAAAGAATGGAAGAAGCTTTGTTGGCATATAGGACAACATACCGCACACCAACTCAAGCAACACCATATTCACTTGCTTTCGGAGTTGAAGCAGTCCTGCCACTCGAGCGTCCAATACCTTCCTTAAGACTTGTTATTCAAGAAGGGCTCACTGAAGAAGAAAATGCTCGATTGCGTCTTGCTGAGTTAGAAGCACTTGATGAAAAGAGGCTAGAAGCCCAACAAAACCTTGAATGTTATCAAGCTCGTCTATCTCGTACTTTTAATAAGAAAGTTCGCTTGAGGTGTTTCCAAGTTGGAGACCAAGTTCTCGCAGTAAGAAGACCCATCATTACTTCGCACAAGTCTGGGGGTAAATTTACCTCAAAGTGGGATGGACCATATGTTGTACAAGAAACATATTCACATGGTGCTTACAAGCTTGTTGATGCAGATGGTGCAAAGATCGGTCCTATTAATGCAAAATTCCTAAAGAGGTACTACCATTGAAGTAAGATGATGCTCCTTAAGGTATGAGCCTAAACTGCATGTCACTCCTGGCCCGCAAGAGTATAAACTGTGTACGGCACAAACAAAAAAAAAATCACTCAATCCCTCAGAACTACGTTGTGACTTGATCCTCTTCACTGAGGTACGTAGGCTCTTACAATATATCCTAAGTTCAGTTGCATGAGTGTAAAAAAAAAAAAAACATGTTCCCACTTGATCTGTCACATGTCAGTCAAAGCGATAAGTATTTTGTTTTATGTTTTGTCTCATCAAACTATAGACTTGTACGAAGTATTGAATGGTCAATAGATGGGGACAAACCCTTATGAAATATGAGCTTCTTTGACAGTAGGCTTGAAGTGTTTAAATTCAGACAAGTATGCAAGTTGAAGTATTTGAATCCTCTATATATACAAGTTGAAGTCTTCAAATCCGACAAAGTAAATATGATAAGTCCTACAAGTTTGCATGTTAGACTCTTAAATCAACCAAGTTACAAGTCAATGTCTTCGAATTCTATGAATTTACAAGTTAAGGCCCTAAAACTTGTTACGAGTTAAATTCCACAAAATTGATAAGGCAAGTTTGAATGTGCAAACTTAAAAATGTGGAATGACTTTGAATTACTAAAGCTTGGGATTAAGAATTAAAGAGCAAATTCAAATTTGATTATGCAATAAAAATGCATGATATAAAAAAAAATAAAAGAACTTCATTACTATAAAATTGTCTAAAACATCAATCAAATGCTAAAGAAAACAAAAAAAGGGAAACACGAAGAAAAAGCCTAATCTAAGCGTAACTTGTAGTTAGTCAAATCTTGACAACTAGCCTCCAAGCACTCTCTTTTCTGTTCCAAACGAAGTGTATCTTCAAGCGTTAATAAACTCATATTTTCATACAAGGATATCTCATCTTCTGTAGCTAAAATCTTGGCTTGAACCTCCTCAACCTTCTTCTTAGCAGCTTCTTAAACAACTTCAAGTCCCTCTCGCTCTCCTTGTAAAGTTGCTAGCTTACGCTTAACCTTCTTTAGTGATTTCTTGTTAGAGGAAACATGTTTTGCCTTCTCACCTTCTTCTACTTTGAAAAATTTGAGACGCTCTTTGGCATTGGAAATCAACTCCATCTTCTTATCTTCATGCGCCTTGTCAACAAAATTAGAGTGTACTTGATCATAAGAAGTAGCATGATCAAAAAGAGAATCTACCAAGCTCTTCAATGGTGAAAGATCTAATAAATTTATCTCACTCATCTCCTTGAAAATCTCACAAATATCATCTTTGTAAGATGAAATATTGTCTAGAGAAGTTCTGGAAAGTTTTCCACAAATCTCTTCCCAAAGACCCAAGATGTACTTTCTTTTGTAGTTGAACACAACACCTTTTCCTTCGAAGACAGACATAGCTCCATTACTCTTTGGGAGAACTCGGGAAAACTCATTTGAATTAGGAGTCAACCCTTTTAAAGTTTGGCCACGAGAAGTAGATGATGTCTTTTGCTCTTGCTCAATATTTGAAATTGATTGTGCCTTAGGTTTTGATATTGCAGTAGACTCATCGCTAACTTGTGGCATCTCATGTGGCGATCCTAGTGGATGTCCAGCAGCGTTAACCTACACATGGAAAAAGTGGGTTAGCAAAGTTATTTTATTCAAAAATAAATAAATAAATAAAAAATTAAACCTTGTCACTCTGAATTGTCATTGATCTTGAAGGACTATCGACACTCTGAACTTCTATTACTCTTAAATCAACAACTTCAGCCCCAGATGGTTCAACCCTTTGCCTCTTCCAACATCGATCCTTGCTAGTTTTGCTTGTTTCTTGAGGGGCCCGTTTACTAGAGAAGAGAAATTGGGGACATTTCTCTTTATCAGTAGAAGTATGAACTACTTCTTTCTTGGATACCTTAGAGGAATTAAGCTTCTTACTTTGATGTTGGGTAGCAAGTGGTGTCTTGACTTTTGAAAGTGTCTTCTCGATATCTTCACTTTTGTCTTCTAAAAGGGTAACAAATTCTGACCCAGATTTCTCTACCATAACATCCAAATTATCCTCAAGAACCATTCCATAGGATCTCTCCCACCAAGATGAATATTGGGTAGTATAAAGCTTTTTTGCGGAAGTTACCGCAGGAGGAAATGTCGTTTTAGACATAGTTGCACGTGATATGCAAATGCGCCAATATCTAAGGCCTTCATCAAGTGACTTAGCACGAATATCATTTTCTAAATAGCCAAGAATATCTTGATGAAAACCAAATTGGTGACTAAATCGGTGTGGACTATATGGCTCAATGAAAAAAGAACTTCCCCTCCTCAATGGAAGATAATTAAAACGAAGGCTCACAAAATAAGCTAGCTCCAACTCTGGTGCTTTTCCTTCATCAATATAATAAGTTGGGTGAGGCCTACTAAGCATGGTTGCATTCCATACAATGTTTTCCCCTCGATGAACACGCTTTCTTGCCTCATCTTTGTCAAAGTACTTTGCAGCACCTTCCCCAGAATATACCACCATTCGTGGAAGATAAGGTCCACTAGTAAGCGGATAGTGTGTCTTGAGATAATAAGCAAGCCAACCATAAACATAGTGGATGGGAAAACAAACTTTTATATGGTCTAAATGTGAAGAATTTGAAATTTTATTTAAGCCATGATATATGCTTGCTAAGACCGGAACCGCAAGGCTAACCCTTTTACCGTTCGCCATTAAGCTTGCTATCTTGAAAGTTTCAAGCCGAATGAAATTCCCTTCTTCAGACAGAAATACAAAGCACATAACCAACATGACAAAAAGGCCGTCAGATAAGTCTCATATTTTTGGTGTTTCGCTCCAAGCTTAGAAAATGCCATCTCTTGAGTACTTGACCATGTGTTTATCTCAGTAGGTATCTCACCTATTGGATTATGAGTAGATGACAGATGTCGAGATTTCTTCTCTTTCCTTGGGGGAGCTAGCTCATATTTGCGATCTTTCTTGCACCAAAATTGTATCCATTCATTAAAAGAGACCCTCATATTACCATTATTTTTCTCTTTAAGATGATGAAAGGCAGCAAACATACACTCGCAAGTTTGAGGAAGAAATCTTTCCCTCTTGTCATCCAAACCCGTAAGTTTCGTGAGTTAGGTATCACTTCTTCGTAAGGGACTCCGCTAATTGGCAAACCACCTAGAATATGCAAGTCCCAAAGAGATATGGATGTTTCTCCGATAGATGTAAGTAATGTATTTGTTTCAGGGAACCAAGCCTCACAAAAGGCTTGTATAATATTGGAGTTCCGATCATAAGTAAAAAGAGAAGCAAATACAAGCATTGTTTAGACTTTGCCCATTTTTGCTTAAGACATCTTCTGTCCATTCCCAGTATCCCGGAATGCAGTGATATTCACCTTCAAGCACAATGGTGTCTCCCCAACGTAGTTCCTCTAGAATCATGCGGCGACCTAAATTTGAAAGAGTGCTCGCGATGTTTGTACATTGTGGATTTGGTTTCTCAAGATACCACGCTTTTGAGGCTTTATTAGATTTGTGATCGTATTCGGATGTCCAACTTCTCATATGAAGCGTGTTCCTCAATTGTGGCCATGGATCAACATAACGACCAACAAAAGATTCCTGGACCAAAAACTTAGTCTCCACCGTACTACCCTCTGTTCCAACGATGAGATATTTGAGTTGAGAAGATGGGCAAGTATAATCCTTGAAGAAAACCATTGTTCAAACTGCAAAAAAAAAAAAAAAAAAAAAAAGTGTTAATATTTACTTATGATGATGCACGAAAGAAGATAAAACTTGAAAGAGAGGGGTCATTAAGAAGGGGGAATATTTTAAGCATTATGGATCTTGAGAAAGCCTCAAGTTAGTGATCTTCAAGGCGGGGACATTAAACACCTCCCTTCACACCTTATGCTTAAGTATTTGGGACCTTGTAACGCCTTGAGAGTAGTATTTTTTTCAAGGCGGGGACGTTAAACACATTATTCTAGTAAAACCTCAAGTTGGTTAAGTATTCGGGACCTTGTAACGCATTGAGAGTAGTATTTTTTTTCAAGGCGGGGACGTTAAACACAGTATTCTAGTAAAGCCTCAAGTTGGTTAAGTATTCGGGACCTTGTAACGCCTTGAGAGTAGTATTTTTTTTTTCAAGGCGAGGACGTTAAATAGAATATTCTAGTAAAGCCTCAAGTTGGTTAAGTATTCGGGACCTTGTAACGCCTTGAGAGTAGTTTTTTTTTTAAGGCGGGGACGTTAAACACAGTATTCTAGTAAAGCCTCAAGTTGGTTAAGTATTCGGTACCTTGTAACGCCTTGAGAGTAGTATTTTTTTTCAAGGCGGGGACGTTAAACACGATATTCTAGTAAAGCCTCAAGTTGGTTAAGTATTCGGGACCTTGTAACGCCTTGAGAGTAGTATTGTTTTTCAAGGCGCGGACGTTAAACACGGTATTCTAGTAAAGCCTCAAGTTAGTGATCTTCAAGGCGGGGACATTAAACACATCCCTTCACACCACAAGATCAAATTCATGTGTGATATAGTTCTCCATTGTTCAGCCTCCACGCTGCTCCTATTGACCTATAAACAAACCCACATAATAAAATAAAATTAAATACAAATAAAGAAGGGGAATTACCTCACAGTTGAGGCTTGCGAATCAGTTCCAAGCAACAGTTCACAAATTGGTATTAAAAGTATGAGGGTCATGATCCTATTTATAGGCGAGTAATGTCGGTCGTTCACTCCTAATTGATGACGGTTCAAGTGTCACAATTCAAATAGGATAGGAATATGTTACTTTTTGGAGACAAATAAGGAAAAGTGCATGGTGGGACCCACAAATTGGAAAAATATAAAATTTCCTACGTATTGAAAGTTTTGGCAGTATGTGTGTACAAGCTTATAATACTTACGAGTCTTCCAAACAATTACACGGTCAAATATAAATAAATAGTAAATTGTATGGACAATTTATTTATTTATTATATATAGTTTGATTCAAAATTGACTTAATACTTCAAGTCTAGTCGTGAAAATATTTGTTTGACAAGACTTGAAGCAGGGGGCATTTGTAATAATTTAAAATTTATTAAATATAAATTTATAAAATGATTCGAATTATATTAAATTCATGAATATATTAGTCCAAATAAATATTATGAATTAATATAATTGGGCTAATTATTCAAGTCCAATAAATATGAATTTAATTAAAATAAAAATTAATTGATTTGGGCTATAGATGAGCCCAATTTGCTAAGTCCAATGTCATCTTATCCTAGAGGCCCATTCTTTTGGTGCCACATGGCAAATGACGTGGCATGCCAAGTCAAACAAATAAGCCAATAGGATCATGACATGTGTCAAAGATGACAAGCCCGCTCCATAAAGCCCATATGACATGTCACTTAAATCTGATTGCTCGAAGGGAATCATGTTCCAATCGCAACTCCTCTATTCTAAAACTATGAATAGGGGTCCTCATAATTCAGAATAGAGGACAGAAAATTATAAACAAGAAGCTAGAGAAAATCCGTGGTACAAACGCCATAAAATTCTCTATAAAGCTACAAGTTTAAGAATTCAAACATTTAAGTTCAAGAACGATCAAGATCAAGACTATCAAGTTCAAGAACATGCTCGAAGCCCTTGAATTCAAGCAAAAGTTAAGATCAAGATAAAGTTCAAAGTTCAAATTCATCAAAGATTCAAGATCAAGCTTTAAAGCCCTTGAATCATATTTGAAAAGGCGAATTCAGAGGAATCATAGAGATTGTAACACTCGCACTTTGAAATAATAAATACGATTGTTGCTATAATTTTCCGTTCTTGATTATTGTTTTCTCGACGCGAATTTTATTGTCTACAGGAAGAAACAAAGTAAATAAACAAAAGCAACGATTATGGCAGGCGATGATTCCAGTATGACTTTCGATTTATAGATTTCGAGAAGTTTTATATATTTGGGTAAAGAGTCTGAAGAATACTTCAACTTTGACCGAAATTGTTGTTACGATACCGAACTTTGGAAAGGACCTTTTACCCGCTGCACTATTTAATAGTATATTTTAAAGGTATATATGTGACCACGTGGACACATTACTATTATGCAATATTTATGATGTCCACGTGGGCGTACATATACCTTTAAAATATATATTTTAGACTTTTTTCCCTATTTAATTTGATTTTCTGTTTCAGGGGTTACCCGTAATTGCTTTTCCAAAAAAAATATTTTTCCTTTTTGCAGATGTAGTGGTTCTACTTTGCGTAATGATCTTGATTTTTAAAATGTTCCCAAAAAACAATTATTTGGGAAGCATTAGATAGTGTAACCGTCAAAATCAAGTAAAGATCTAAACAATTCGATTTTTAGATCAATAATAATTGTAGATAAAGTTTGATAACCATGTTTATATCCATAATCTTATATTCCACAAAAAATGTTTCGAATCATTATTCTCATAGATTTCCATATTTGATTATGGGGTATACAATCAATTTTAATAGCACTTTTTTATAACTTTTGCTAATTGGTTTTGTGTTGTTTTTTTCCAGGAATTTTGAAGTTACAAATTTTATTTTTGGGTAAGTAGTTTCTGGGTTTCTCCCATTTTAAGTTCAAAATTAAGTTTATTTCTTCAATAATTGAGTTTCTTCAAGGAGAAAGTCGTAAGCATGTAACTATTATTGAAATGTTACGTGAAGAATTCATGCAACTTCATGTTACATTATTACTCAATTGGTATAACTTGATTCTTATTGTGGGGATTGTGAAGTAACTTTAATGTTTAATGAACAAAAATAACATATTTATGCTAATAGCTAATAGCGGTCCCAACATTCCTTCTCTATACACTCTGTTGATGGAATTTTGAGTGGATGTTTGATCATGTTTCATTATGAAATTTGAAAAAAAATATTTTCTATTTCTAAAGTAAAATATGATTTTTGAAAATTGGAATATTATTTGATCATGAATACAAATTGATGTTGTTTTTGCCTTTTTGGGAGTAATTTGAGGTGAGAAGAGTGAAAATTCATTGACAAATCAATTGGAAAGACAATGGAGTTACTCTCTTTAGTTCCACATACTTCTTTTTTGTTCTTTTTATGAATGGTATTTTATGATATATAGTTCGATTTGTATATTTTGT